GAAAGAAACAGCAAGTTTGACAAAAATGACGAAAAGAGGATGGGTTAAAGGTGGTAATTCCAGATTTGCCATTGATGGTGTTTATGATTGATTTGATGCCTCTACTAAGTACTAATACTATAATGACGTCCCATTAGACAGAACGGCTGAAGCGCGTATTATTATCTGTGGTACAGTCTTACGCGTTTTTTTTTTCCAGTTTATTCCTTCCCAATCATTTTATTGACTTAAAATTTTTGTGATTGCCACCTCAATATTCATTAATTATTTATCGAGAAGATTTAAGTTTTATAACCTTGCGGGGCATTTGGCAATAAGGACGGAGATAATGACATTAATGAACATAAAAAGGTAGAATTAGAATATGGCATTAGTAGGTGGGATAAGGATTAAAGTTATGTTATCCATTGTTTGGTATGATTTGAGAATTTTATTGGAATAAATAGTAAAATTATTCAACTAACCTTCTATTCTCTCCTCTTCTTTCCCTTTTCATCAAGGGTAAAACTATCTTTTATCTTTCAATTTTTAACCCCAAAACTTATACATGCGTGTCAGAAATAGAGGAATAAGCCCCTATTTTATCCACATCCCTTTTATATGGGATAACTTGTATTCTCTCAAACAAACAAGAAATAATAGAACATAAGAGATTTTAAATCCTTATCCCATCAATAACCCTACAAACAAACAAGTTGTTGGTTTATCAAGGGATAAAATGGTACATTTAAGTGCATATTGAGGGCATAAATGTAACTAACAATGTACAATTCAGCCGATCGAAATAAATGACTAAATGACATGCAATTGTCATATCTTCCCCATTATTAAACACTTCACACGTACTCTCCAACACACTTCTCATATTTCTATCCTATCGAAGGTAATAATCTTATTGTAATTTATATTTTGCAGGGTTAATACAATTGTTTGTGGAAGCTTCATCTTTTGACGGCAAATGGACACCAACACTATTTTTTAAAGACTTTCTCAACATTCAAGTCTCATCATGTGCACCATGAAGGAAATCGGGCAGCATATCATGTTATTTCTCTAGACTATTCTACTCCAATCTATCAGGATATCCACCTTTTTTGGATAGCAATTACTTCTAGATAAATTAGATTACGATCTTGCAAAAAGACGCTCCTAATCTCAACTAGGGGTGAAACAAATTTGGTTTAAAACCAAACCGAACCGAAAACCGAACCGAATTAGGAATATGGTTCGGTTTTTTTCTTAAGTGGTTCGGTTTCGGTTTGTAAAATCAAGAAACCGAAATTGTATGGTTCGGTTTCGGTTTCGAGAAATGAAAACCGAAACCGAACCGAATTTCGGCCCATACTATATAAGGCAAAAAAAAAAAAAACCTAATCACTCTTCTCAGCCTCTCACTCTCTCCTCTTCTCTTTCCGCCCTTTCTCTCTCCTCTAATCCTCTTCTCTTTTCTCCATTTGTGAGCTTTCTCCCTCTCGGTTCTCTCTTTCTCCTTTCCTCTTCTTATCTTCTCCAATCTCTAGTTCTCTACTCTGTCCTTTCTCTTTCCTCTTCGATCTCTTCTCCACTTTCACTCTCTTCTCCTCTTCGACAGTACGACCAAGGAGGCAAGGACGACCACCTGGGCACCAGTGTTCACATTCTAAAGGTTTTCATGTCAAATTCGACCATGAAAACACTAGATCTAGTGTTTTCATGGTCGAATTTGACCTTTAAAACCCAAATTCGAGGTTTTTCGGTGGAATGTGAGGTATGTCCTCTTTTTCTTTCTTTTAATTTGGTTTGAGTTTTTTATTTTTATGGTGGTGTATGATTGAATTGTGGTGGTGGTAGGTAGTTTTGGGTGGGTTTCGGGTGGTCAGGATGGATGGTGGGTTTCTTCAGTTTTTGGTGGGTGGAGGGGTGGTTTTTGATGGATTCGGGTTGATGCATGATGAGTGGGTTTCGGGTGGTTTTTGATGGGTTAGGGTGGATGGCGGGTGGGTTTCGGGTGGTTTTGGGGGATGGGTGGTGAGTTTCGGTGGTTTTGGTAGGTTAGGGTGGGTGGTGGGTGGGTTTTAGGTGGTCAGGGTGATGGGTGATGGGTGGTGGGTGGGTGTTGGTGGTGATAAGGTGGGATGGTAATAATTAATACCCTGGATTGGTTTGGTTTTGTTTGGTTCGGTTTTAATTGGTTTGGTTCGGTTCGGTTTTTTTTGCAAAATTTGATGTTCATGATGCTTGATAGGAAAATTCGGTGCGGTTTGGTTTTTTTTTAAGAAAACCGAAATTTAGGTGGTTTGGTTCGGTTCGGTTTCAAAGAGAAAGTGGTGCGGTGTGGTTTGCAAAATCAAGAAACCGAAATATGGTGGTTCAGTTTCGGTTTGGGCCAAAAACCAAACCGAAAACCGAACTTTCACCCCTAATCTCAACCCGTATCTTATCTTTCCAAACAAAAAAAAAAAAGAATTTCTAATCGAAAATCATGTCAAGTGCTAATATATTTCACATGAAAAACACTCGTCTTATTAAGGTTAACCATTTATTTAATTTCTACATTATTTCTTATGGTTAATTGAGGGCGAAGGCATTAGAATGAGATTATTCCGCGCACTATTTATGACTCCCAAGGCCTTTTGGGAACTCATGGAATTACTTAGATGCATAATCTCGCCAGGTGAAAAAATGATATACGGAAGCCAAATATGAAGGCTATAATACACGAAATCGGGAGCAATTTAGGAGGTGTCGGGACCCGGTGTCGGAAGTCCACGGAACACTACGGGATGCATCCCGGGGTCAGATAATATTGTTTCGACCCATATATGACCATTATTCGGCTACGTAAAGGCACCGTGAAAGCTTATAGCCAATACAAGAGGCGTGTACGAATGCCGGTAAATTGGATTCTTAAAGGCAAATTGGATGGTTCCACCCACCCAATTAGACTCCCGGAGGGTATTAGGGACCATGGTAAACATCTTGGCAATTTTTATTTCCGGGCGAAATGAAGTCAAAAAATTCCAAAATTGAAGGCTATTATCCACGCTTTTTGAGGAATTTTGGAAGTTTCGGGGCCCGGTGTCGAAAAGTTTTGAGATTCTAGGGGTTACATCTCGGGGTCATATAATGCCGTTTGGAAGCATATATGATCATTATATGTTGTCATAAACGTTCGTAGTAGGCTTGAGTTAATGAAATCGGTGCAAGTTGTAAACAGGTAAATTGACAGTTTAAAGGCAAATTGGATGGTTCCACCCACCCAATTGGACTCCCGGAGGGTATTAGGGACCATGGTAAGCATCTCGGCAATTTTTATTACCGGGCGAAAAATAGTCAAAAAATTCCAAAATTGAAGGCTATTATCCACGCTTTTTGAGGAATTTTGGAGGTTTCGAGGTCTGATGTCGAAAAATCTTGAGATTATAGGAGATACATTTAAAAATAGACATGTATGTTTGGAATTGTGATAAGCTAGCAAAAAGCTGGGGTGGTCCTATTGCCGCGCTGGTGATGTTGCCTTATCTAGGGGTGTAAATGAACCAAGCCGTCTTTTGCTTGCCCCAACTTCCTTTTTAACTTGTGCCTTTGAATTTATTTCATACTATAAATGTAATACCCGTCATAATTGCTTTAAAAAGGATTTGATATACTACTCATATCAATAAGATACATCTTCCATTTAAGGAGCTCATATGCTAAAATACTCCACAGTTAAGCGTCCTTGGCTGGGAGTAGTCTTAGGATGGGTGACCTCCTGAAAAGTTTTCTCGGGGTGCACATGAGTGAGGACAAAATGTGCCGGAAGGACTTGTGTTGGTATGTGTGGACAAATATTGGCCCTTGATGCGCATTTCATGACAATAGGCCCCTCCCTAATTTATTTAGGGCCAGGGTGTTACAAATGGTACCAGAGCAACCCTGGGACCGCGTATTGATCGTGGATAATTAATCTTATGTCAGTCGCCTAGCGGGGGAGAATTCTGGGGCTATTTGGCCGTATCCAGACTGGATGTAACACTTTGGCTACCCAGTTGCCATTAGGCGTAATACTAGATTCCCTAGCTTTCCAGGCGCAACGAGGGCGTTGCTGTTCTCAAGTGGGGGTGTATGTAATACCCCTCATGATTGCGAAGTTTTCTCGGGGTGCGCATGAGTGACGACAAAATGCGCCGGAAGGACTTTTCTTGGTCTGTGGAGACAGTTGTTGGCCCTTGATGCGCATCTCATGACAATAGGCCCCTCCCTAATTTGTTTGGGGTCGGGGTGTTACAATGAATGACTTTGAAGTTATTTTTTTTTTGTTAGTAATATAAATGCTTCTTTGTTCCTCAATAATCGACTTAGTCAAATTTAACATATATATCAATGTATGAATTTAACCCAACATCTCTCATATTATATAACTAATATATAAAGCTAAACTTTTAACTAGGTCACGAGGCAGCGACACTTGGCATTCCAACTTTTCGCCAAGTGTCGCGCCACGTTGGATAGATTAAATCGAACATTTCCACCAACATTATTATTAGTCATTACATGCCTACTAGATACCAAATCATCACAAAAGCACATCAATTCCTAACTAATTTTGTATCAATGATATATTTTAAAATTTGACATATAAATTAAAAATTTATCATAAAATTTAATAAACAACCCGAGCATTATACAGGGCACAAAACTAGTTAATAATAAAGGAATTTTATCATAAACCACCTTTTAAATTGGAGGCGCTTTGAGATCAAACTGGAGACACTTTGGGGTCAGGATTCCCTTACACTTCCCTACAATCCCAAAGAACCTAGCTCGCTAATCCAGGTCAGATTAACCCGTGAGAGGTTCTGGCTCAATAAAACATTTGTCCTTACTTAATAAAAGTAAAAATATACTCTACAAAATAATTTTGAATCGAGTTAATTTTTGATACCTTTATTAGTCTTTTGATTCCGGTCATTAACAATTCAACACTAGCAACCAAAATATTGGAAAACCACGGTAGAACAAGCAAAAGGGCGACATAACTAACTAATCAAACTGATCTGCGAATCTGGATTAGGCCCAAGGGGAACCGGGTGTAACACCGAAAAAAAAAACTAACTAATCAAACTACCAATACTAAACAACTTCCACTAGTTAGATGTTCCTCCAAAACGCCTCCATTTGTGTCAAAAATTCGTAGACTAGTCGCTATTATTCTCAAGTATTCCATGCTTATTGAGCCACTGCCGCATTTGTTTAGTTTGGCATTCTCAAGGTCAGAATTTACTATTGCTTAGTTTAATTTTTAGGGTTTAAGCCTACCAACTTACAAATCTATTTCAATTCGGTTGAGTATTTTGATCAGTTGTTCCTGTAACTTAGACTTCGTAATTCCGTATTAATTTCATTTACATGCTCATTAATTAAATTAAAATTTTGAGCTATAATTTCATATGGGGCATCAGAATTATTAGTTTTGCTGAAAGGTTGGATTAATTTCTTGTAGATTTTGGTTGAAACATGACTGATGGAACCTCATTACAACAAGCAATGGGGGATTTACATATACCCGAAGTGAGTACCATTAATTTTTATTTATTTTTGTTATATATACTATATTTAGAAGGGTTTTATTTCGGGGTCGTTTTGTGGCTTGGGGTAATGCTGAATACTAAATACTTCGTACTGAATTGGAGCTAGCTGTAGCCTTGACTAATGGCTAACTTAACATTATCCAACAATGATCGAAACGTGTTGTCTATTACTCACTGAAACAGACAGCTATTCCCTGATGCTTTTGAAATTTGAATGTGGAATTTTGCAGGTGTTTGAATGATGTGATGGTTAACTGATAGCTACATTATGGATTTACTATTCTTAGGATGCTTGAGAAAGGATGTCTCCTTTATTTTGGATAGTATTCCGATCTTTTTTTCCCATTATTTCGTTACCTAGATTGAATGTTTGAGATTTGGGAGCATGAGAACACACTATTTAAGTAGAAGGAAATGTCTTTTTTGTGAAATTATGTATGTTTTGTTCTTAGTTAAGAGGGGTTGGGTTAATATGACAATTATTTCTGGATGGAGGGAGTATTAAGGATCAACATGATAGTGATCTGAGTATCACCTGGTTGGAAATCAGGGAAAGGGACTGATGATTTTGTTGACTTGAGGATTGGATTTTAGTAGTGCCAAAAGGCTTTGTTGATGATTCTGGAGTCTGTCGCGGAGTCATTGACAAATATGTCACTTATCCTCATAGGAAGGTGAAGACTGTTTTCTGCTAATGTGAATCAGTTTAAAGCCGCCAATATCTATATCTGCTCTTCTGTTGTGGCGGATACTGTGTCAAATACTAGTTACTGTACAGGACTGTAAGTCTGTAAGATGTTATGGGAATGAAATATTTTGTGTGTCAAAAACAGGTGAAAGTGTCTTAAATAGGGTGCTTCATTTTATCGCCTCAGGCTCTCAGTTGAGTGTCATCCAATTGCCTCACATTTTCAAACCAATTTCTTGGATGTGCAAACTTGGATTGTGGTTCTTTTGAGCCTCAATTATCATTGATGCAGCTTTACATTTAGCGAATTACTTTTAAGTGGTTTTTCCAAGTTATGGAAAATACTGCTTACAATCACAATCACAATCACAATCACAATCACAATCACAATCACTCCCACCGGCCACCGAGCGTAGGAAAACTATAGAGGGAAGGGGGAATATGAGGATGGTTATCTGACACTTCTGGTGCTTCTTGGGTGCTGAGGTGCATAGTTAAGGTGATTGTGGGAAGGAAGGGTTATTTATGTTGGAGATGAGGCATGGGCATTGTTTACAAAGGCCATGTGACTATGTGAGTGGTTGGAACCATCCACATTGCTTTTAAGTGACCGACTAATGACCTTGCACAATTCCAATCAACATTATATGACCTCGTGATGCCAAGTTGGTGGTTGGAACCTTCTGTTGCAGCTCTTAAGTCTTAAATAAAAATGCAATATAATTTCAAAATAGCCACATAGCTGAACTAACTCATTTTCAGGACTTTATTGACTTATTGGTAGGCTTATTATGGTTCCAAACTGACTTATATGACCTTGAGGGACATCCCACACATTCACTTTAATTTTTGGAAAATTTCCCGAATTTTGCCTAATAGTGTGGATTATAGCCTTCAAATTTGGACAATTTTCAACTTTTTCGAAATTGGAATAGAAAGAGGGCGAAGTACTTTCCATGGACCCCACGATACCTCGAGAGGCTATATGAGTGGTTGGAACCATCCACATTGCTTTTAATCTTGTCAACTTAGTTGTTTATATACAAGTCTCCCTATATTAACTCAAGGCCACCACGATCTTATATGTGACCGATCAATGGTTATTGAAACCGTCTCTTGCAATTCTTAACTACCAATGCAACATAAATTTAAACCAAACTCATTCTCGCAACTTTATAGATTTATTGGTAGGCTAATAGGCTTGTTATTGTGCAAAACCACCTTATATGGCCCTAGGAGACATCCACACATTTACTTAAAATTTTTGAAAATTTTCTAAATTTTGTTTGAAGTTGTGGATTATAGCCTTCAGATTTGGACCATTTTCGATTATGTTGAATTCGAAAATAAAAGAGGTTATGGTGCTTCCCCATGGATCCTACAAGGCCACAATACATCGGGAGGATGTGTGGGTGGTTGGAACCGTCCACTTTGCCTATTAAATTGACAATTTAGACGTTTACGTACAAGTCTCCCTTCATTAACTCAAGGCCACCACGGGCTTTTATGTTATCAACTAATGGTTGTATATGGTTCCAAACAATATTATAAGACCTCGGGATGCATCTCCTACCATCCCGTGAGTTTTCAACACCAGAAAACCCCCTTTGCCTTATTGTACCTTGTGCCTTTACAAACATTGACTTCCACTGAAATGGAATTATGTAGAGAGGGTGGGAAGAACATGACTATTTGTAAGGGTATCCATGAGATTATTTTACACTTATCACTGGACTATGGACTATAGGGGTATATAAAGGTTGTAATGGATGGATGAAAACACAAAAGGATAAATTTTACAAGATCTTGTTTCTCCCTTTGCCCATTTTACAAGCATGCCTTTGGCTTAAAGATTAAGAATAGAGGAACGAGAGAGTAAAAGCGATAGAGTGGTTTGGACTGAAATAATATGGCAGAAATAATAAGGCGGAGTTTACTTGAAAGTTGAAATGGTTTGTGTGCAACTAATATAGGACTATATATAAAGATGATGTGTGAAATCATGTGGAACAGGGGGAGTAAAGTTTCAAAGAAATTAAATAATTGATGGTTTTGAGAAGAGTTAAACCAGTAAACATATTGATTAAGTAGTTCTTCTTACATTGTGTTAATTTATGACTATAATTCCACAATACAGATTGTGCCTTTTGACCCAACCAAGAAGAAGAAGAAGAAGAAGAAGAAGAAGAAGAAGAAGAAAGTTGCCATCCAACAAAATGTGGAGAGAGATGATTTTTCGCGATGTCTGTAAAAAACCTTCACGAGATTTATATCTTTTCCTGATTATTCAGCACATTTGTTTGTGAAGTTTGGTTTCATGGATTTTACATCTCTAGGCACTCACTATCAGTAATATTCTGCGTGACTATCATTTTCTTTGTTTCAGTGAATGAAGGTGGAAGAAATTTCTTTCTTGGTTTAACAGAGAACAAAGGATCAGTAAGTTTAAAAATTCTACATAGTTTTTAAATAGATCTAGCTGCTATCAAACATTGTTGGTTGATGAAGATATTGTCAATTGCAGGAAGGAACCAGTAAATTGCTTAGCTATGATTCTGATGCTGCAGGAGCCATGTATGGTAAACTTAGCCTTCCTGTACTAGTGTTTTGCTTTAAAATGTTTCAGAGGATCTCAGATTTATTTTATTTGAGATTAATGGGTGGTACCATAGCTACTTATATTTTAACCTTGAGGTAGTAGTGCACAGTGTTTTCTAAATAGTATATGCGCGTGATCCTAAGGCTTGAATTCTCTTTAGCTCTTGGCAAGCAGATTGCTTACTATGAGGTTTCCTATAGCAGAAAGTTTTTAATGTTCATTTGCATTGCGTTCTCTACTCATTATCACAAGAAAGGTAGTTTTGGCTTTGTAAAACTAAATATTTTTTTCCTTTTCAGTACATCTTGGTGAGGAGGATGGGGAAGAAGATTTGGTTATTCAACAATCTGGGTACCCTTTGGAAGGAAATGAACGTGATTATGAGTATAAAGAGGTACTCCTTTTTGCACTTTTATGCTAGAATATTATGATCATGGTTTTGTTGGAAGAGCTTTTGTCTATCACTGTTCTACTAGGAAGAAAGCTTCAAGCTTGATCTAAATTGAAGCTTCAAGCTTTTGCCTAATGTAATGGACTCAGAACAGAAATATAGAGAAACAGAACAAATAAGGAAGAAAGCTTCAAGCTTGATTATATTTAACAATGGCAGCAATAAGTTTCACACATTAGTAGGTTTAGCCTACAACTCTCAGTAGTGGGTTTAGCCCACAACACTCAGAGATAACTCTAATACAAAAATGCCTTCCTAAAGCTTTCCCCCTCTTTCATATATATACACAAGTTCCCAGACTGATTCGGTGGCTGATGATTGCATTTTGTCTTCACATGTTCTGCTCTTTTGTCCCTATGTGCTGTCACTCATTCCCTTGCCCAATACTCACATCCTGCTGCTGTATTGGTGCCTTGGTGCCTGCTTTCTTCTTCCTTCTGACATACGGGAGGACCACAGGTGGCTGGTTCACTACACCTAATCTTTTGAGTGTACATTTCGCTGGTTTATTGCATTATAGTGAAGACTTTGGCAAGATAATAGTAGCTTCAAACTTTGTAAACAATAAGCAATATACCAAGGGAGCTTCCTTGTAGATATGTATAGCACTCGTACCCTGGTAGATATTTGTTCATCAAATAAGCTGGTGTGCCTGTATTGTTGTGTCACTCAGCTAGCTGGCCTGTCTTCAATGTGTATTTCTCAGTTATGAATCAGTTTGTTCTAGCATTTGCTGGCCACAATCTCAACAATGTTTTACTTGGTAAAATTCTTTTTCCATCAATGCCTATAGATTTTAATTCACGATTTCGTGGATAATCACGTGTTTACTGAATTGCAGCTGCTACAAAGAGTGTATAGTTTTCTGCTGGAACATAATCCTCAGCTTGCTGAAGATAAGCGAAGGTCAGTTTTAAGGCCACCACTAATTTTCTCAGAAGGCTCCACACAGACAGTCTTCGTCAATATCATGGATCTATGTAAAACGTAAGTCTTCAACCACTGCGGAGTACTTAATACGTCGTATAAAAGATGGGTTTATGCTGTAATGTTTTATTGTCACAATGGTTATCTCAGTTGACTAATTACAGCTATTCTAATCCCTGCTACTCCGTAGGTTGTAGAAATTTATTATTTGCCCCTTCCCCTGCCCAGGAGACTCATTTTCCCCTGATGATATTGGTCTTGAAATGTTGTCACGTTTGACGTTGTCAATGTGATCATGCAATCTCAAGTTAATATTCATCTTTTCCCATCAAGTAACCTTTATTTTTAAAAAAGAGTGCTTATTTTGATAATATTTTTGGTATTTTCAGGATGCATAGGCAACCGGAACAACTTATAAATTTCCTGTTAATCAAACTGGGCACTAGTGGATCATTAGATGAGGATAACAGATTGATTATTAGGGGAAGATTTGCTCCTAAAAGTTTAGAAGATTTATTGCAAAGATATATCAGTGAGTCCCTATAATTTATACATGATATTTGAGATTATTGACTATGACACTCTTACAAACGTGATTGTTCTGTTTGTGGATTCATTGTTGATGCATTTATTTGCTCCTTTTTACAGATGAATATGTCCTTTGCAGTATTTGTAGAACTCCAGACACAATTCTTTCAAAAGAAAACCACATTTTCCTTCTCCAGTGTGAGCTGGTAAGCTTCCCTTTTTTTTTTTTTTTTTTTTTTTTTTGGTTTCTTAGGATATAATGCGACAACCGCTTCCTTGATCTCTCAGACAATTTCTTTTGTCGGCTGTTGCTGTATAGCTGGTTTGACTTGTAATTCTGATTATTATTTATTAGGGTGGTATTTGCTGTGTTCTCTCTTTTGATGACATAATTTATATATTTACAGTGTGGTTCTGAACTATCTGTGGCTCCCATAGGAGCTGGTAACGGTATTCGCTCAGAGCGTAGGAAAACTGGAACGTAAACTGCAGTGATTATCTTCTGCAGTTTGCGGCAGTTACACAGTATATTACTTTTTCCTGCTCACCTGAAGCTCTGATTTCATCCCTTTGAATACAATTTAAATGCACTGGTTTGGAATTAAGAAAGTGAGCACTTTGGAAGGTTGAAATACAAGAGCTTGCGACATTATCCAGGTCTGCAAGGTTGCATCATACAAAGGCCTCGAGATGAGCATCTTAAACAGTTTTCCCTGGCTGTAATCGATTCCTCTGGGTTCAGTTTGCAAGAAATTTTTTTGTTTAAAACACTGACTCGAGAACAATCCTAGATTATCTTGCCAATTTCAATGCAGAGCATCCTCTGTGCATCATCCGAGTACTATTTTGCTACTCATATTGGTGCTATTATATCTGCTAATTTAGAGCTGTATAATAGATATTGCATTCACCTAAATCTAGTTACACTTGGGTGCATAATAGATGTTGCAGTTTTGGTGTCATGTACTCCGTATTAGCTTCGTCTTCAACCTCAACTGTCTCCCATACTCTTGCTCTAGACTTGTCGCTGGCCTTATATATTACGAAGTACTGTATTAATTTTGCATGAGTGTACAATTAGCAGCTCAATTTAGTACTTTTAATTTTGAAATCTTAAAAGATTAAGCTGAACAATAAAATGGGGATTGAGGTTTACATTGCAATCTGTGTGATGATGGGCACATTGGCTGGCTGCTATTAATCCTTACTTAGGAACCCGAGGAGGTTAACGATAGCTCGACTTGATCTGAATGCCAATCCAATGTTGATTAAAAAGTTCAAATCTAAACTACACCTTAAACGATATTAGAACAAGGTGATACTTTGAAATAAAAAATAAAAAAAATGGATTTTCAAAAAGTAATTATACGCCGTCTGTGGGGATCGAACCCACGACCACGTGGTTAAAAGCCACGCGCTCTACCACTGAGCTAAGACGGCTTATTAATAAACTTTTTGAGTTTAAATATATTTGAATAATCGTTTAAATTTTAAGATTGGAACAAGATATGATTCCTTATTTGGAAAGATATGATTCCACCAAAGTCATCCACATTGTCTACCATACATTTTTGCAAAAAAAATTATACTTTATGTTTACGTTTTCCTACATTAAATTCGAATTATCTTTTATTCTCCTATGTATTATTTATTGTTGATTCAAAGTTTAGAAGCTTATAATTAAGGGCAACAACACAAATTACCAACTTAATTACTTGAATAATATACTACATCTGATTCATATTATTTGCAACGATTTAAAATAAAATGTGAGTAGAAAATGTCTAATCGTTACAAATAATATGAAACAGAGGTAGTATTCCTTTAAAGAAAGCAACTTAACCAATATTCATGAAAAAGCTTGAGTATTACATGAAGATAAAGATCTATGACCACAAATGCAAATAAAGGGGATATTTTTTAGTTACCATTATCATTAATGTTGTATGAAAGAAAGAAGCTTGAAGAGCAAATGCTAACTACCAGCTGCACCTTTTGTATTCTGCTTTGGTGCTCCCTATATTTTAAACAACCAACTCCAAATTACCTTCATTTTCATCTAATTACAAATTTTAACCACTTCAAGTTTATTTGCTGTTGTTTCAATGTGATCAATATCAATAGTGGCAGTTTTTGCAACTGGATTATGGCAGGTAACATTTTATTATAATCTTACATTTTGGTAAAAATTTCATTTCCAATTTCATATTAGCAATTAAGCATTACTTATATTGCAAATGTTAAAAGAGTGAATTGTAAGGTCTTCACAAAATAAATAGAAGTAGAATGGCACTATCTTTGAAGCAAACTTTCATCTTAATTAGCAAGCACTACTCCACTTGCCTTGTATCTCTCTTTGTTACAGGAGCTATGGAACAATCTATAAGCCTAGCTAATGTATTGTTTATCTTTTGGCCTTTCATCCCAAGTGACTTCGACTTGGTACCTTAGCTTGTGTGCAATGTGTGGATCACATAAAAAGTACACATCATCTCTTATCTTGATTTGTATGTTATCCTTTTATTTTGTTTTGTTTCATTTATATATGTACTCCTCACTTAAGCACCGGTTGCAGTATGGTACATTTATCCCCAAAATGTGCATTTGATTTATATAAACTAGTTAAGGACCTTGGTTAATTCAAATGCGCATGTGTGGAACTAGTAGGGCTTAACCTTGTAACCTCAGATCTTATGGCGAAGCACTTACCCCTATAATTTAAGGACCCTAGTAGGACTTAACCTTGTAACCTCAAGATCTTATAGCGAAGCACTTGCCACTATTCCAAAGAAACCTTATATTTTGGTTACAAGATCTTATAGTGAAGCATTTGCCACTATTCCAAAGAAACCTTATAATTTGGTTAATAAAAAAGTTTTGGTGAACCAATAAAAGAAAGGAAATGTTAGATATACATTAAGAGCAAGTTTGGTACATTGCATTGTGCTAGTGGAAATGAATTCAATTAACCATCTCCGTTACCAATTGTTTTCTAAGGGTAATCTATCATTACTACCCAGTTGTTACCTGTTTCAATGCTATGGTAGCAAAATTGTTTTCTTCCTCAATCCTTAATCAGTTTGATACAACAAGAGATTACTTTCCTTAGGTATATATTTTCTCGTTTTCTCTTCTTCTTAGATTTTAGTTCCTGGATTAATACAAAACATGCAGTATGATAAGTTAGTTTTGATTAAGTGTTCATGTATCCATATTGCCCATATAGGCGATGTAGCATTGTCCAAAAGAGAAGCCCTATGATAAGTTAGTTTTATTAGAGTGCTGATGCACCAAATCTTCTATGCATGTGACCAATTAGCAATAAGTAACGATTGTGTTTGCACAATTTAGTAAGTGTGATGCAAGCACAACCAAAGTCTTGAAAAGAAATAAAGAAATCTTTACTAACTTTGCTTCAAAGAATACTGCAACCCCCTATATCTCTCTTTCTCCTGAAGAGTTTAACCAAATATAAAGCCACTTGCATTGTATGCATTATTATATAAAGTTAGCTGATCATATTCCTCTGACATGGCTTGGTGTGACAACATGGCAAGCCTCACAAAACTTAAGGGCTTCACAATCTTTTTATTGATGCCGATGTTTTTGCTACATGGTATCAGTGCAGACAATCAGTGTGGAATGGCTCCTGCTGATGACGAGATTGATGCAGGGTAAACAATTACTATAAACAATCTTTATCATTGTTGTTGTTTAATTTTGTTGGTATGTTATGTTCGAAACACTTCTAACAATGGCTATATTTAATAATGTGATTAGGCTGTCTGTATTGGATGAGAATGCATGGACAATGGTGGAGAGGAAAGGGAGCCAATTCATTGTTAATGGTAAACCTTTCTACTTCAATGGGTTCAACACCTACTGGCTAATGGTCTTCGCTTCAGATCAATCTACTCGTGGAAAGGTAACCGAAGTCTTCAAACAAGCATCCTCTGTTGGTTTATCAGTCTGCAGGACGTGGGCTTTTAACGATGGCCAATACCGAGCTCTTCAGAAATCCCCTTCAGTCTATGATGAAGAAGTTTTTAAGGTCCTTTTCTTCTTTGTTTCTGTTCAAGATTTTATGCTAAGCATAAATAAGATCTGTTAAATGTAACTACAAAAATAAATCCGTCTAAATTTCTCACAGGGCTTAGATTTTGTTGTGAGTGAAGCAAAGAAGTACAATATCAGGCTGATTTTATCCTTGGTGAACAACTGGAGTGACTATGGGGGCAAACCACAATATGTTAAATGGGGAAAAGATGCTGGCTTGAATTTGAGCTCTGATGATGACTTCTTCTCTGATGCTACTCTCAAGACCTACTACAAAAACCACATCAAGGTTAGCTCTTTAGAAATCTTATGATCGTTTACTGATTGGACTCGGGTTATTGGTGTTAGACACTGGTATGTGTCAAGCTTATATATGAAAATATTTCCACTTTTTCAAAATAAAGTGTTAAGTTTTCCTCAAAAAAAAAAAAAAAGTGTTAAGTGTCCATACACATGTCCAAATATAAAGGATCTGACACAAATACTTGAGATGAATGAAGAGTCAGTAACATAGCTTATAAAAAAACCACAGGTGCTTTCATCTGATGGCATGTTTTCTTTACTGTAATGTTATTTATAGATGGTGCTAAACAGAGTCAATACCTTTACCAATGTCACATACAAAGATGATCCAACCATTTTCGCTTGGGAGCTGATGAATGAGCCTCGCTGCACCTCTGACCCCTCTGGCGATAAACTACAGGTTCGTCTGATTCACCCATTTCTAGTGTCCCACACTCTTTCAGCTCTTAAAGTGAATGTTAAAAGTCATTTTCCATATGTTCATAGGCTTGGATACAAGAGATGGCTGCCTATGTGAAAAGTATTGATCCAAAGCACTTGCTTGAGATAGGGATGGAAGGATTTTATGGTCCCTCGACCCCTGAGAGGGCTCAGGTTAATCCAAATACATACGCTACACAAGTGGGAACTGACTTTGTGAGGAACCATCAGGTTTTAGGTGTTGATTTTGCTTCTGTTCATATATATGCAGATTCTTGGTAAGTAGCATTACAACTGTTATTTGCGCATCTTATATAGTTTTACGTTTATACTGTACTGAAACAAATTTTTTGACTTAGGATATCACCTACAATAACCGATGCACATCTCCAGTTCTATCAGTCATGGTTGCAAGCCCACATAGAAGATGCAGAGAAGTCAATCGGGATGCCTGTTGTGTTTGCAGAATTTGGTGTATCTGTGAAAGATCCTGGGTACAACGCTTCTTTCAGGGACACAATTTTTAACAGTGTATAAAGCTTTGGTGAATTCAGCTAAAAAAGGAGGAAGTGGAGCTGGAAGCCTTCTGTGGCAGCTCTTCCCTGAGGGCACCGATTACATGGATGATGGATATGCAATTGTTCTGACCAAATCTCAATCTTTAGCAGACATGATTGCACTTAATTCTGCAAGGCTAGAGCTCATTAGCTCAGTATGTGCTTGGAACTGTCGCTGGGGTTGCAAGAAAAGGCTGCTTGGTCTAGATCCGGCAGTACTCTAATGGCGCTGTGTAAGGTTCTGGCAAGCTTATTAGTAGGCTAAAATTATCAAATACTGATCAAGTGATTATGGCTTCTTCTTGTAAGCATTGTAAACAGGAAGGCCTTTTAAAAGGCACATGTATACACAATACACTACTTGTAGATACTTCATCCACAAAACTAAGTTCCAGGTTACAAGATTGCAACATAATACAGCAGTTATAAGAGGATATTATAGTATAATTAGCAAGAAGTTAAAAGTAAGAAACATAATGTATCAACTATACATTAATATCAACAATTGACTATATAAGTTATCATAATTTCCTAAACTAATACTTAAAAAGTATAATAATAGGAAATATATTTCATGGTTACATATAGCCCTTAAGGTTGTGTAAATCAAAATCATTATTAATATCAAAAAATTAAAAATAAATGAGGTCAATCACTAATAACAAAACCATAGAGTATCAAAAGTCACTTGACAATGTCACTGCAAACTTCTGGACGAGTGTAAATTGCTAAAAGTACAATCAAAGTGAGCAACAGAATAAAACTTAAGCAAGATTTACTATTTGGGTCAATTAGATTATAGAATGCAAGCAACTCCCTTTTCATAAATAAGCTGCTTTTGGCAGGTTAATATAAGAACAAAAGATAAAGCATTTAGTACTTGATTAATTAAAATTCAAAAATGTAGCAAGGAAAAGACTTGCCTGAGTACATACAGAACTTCCGGATAAAAAGGAAGTCACTCATTTGATTTTCCTTGACTGTCAATAATGACAATCAACAACTATAGATGTTTATGTATTCCATAGAGGGAAAGAAAAATATATTGATATACGAAGTTTTAACGAATTACACATGCCTCCTGTTGTATATAGCAAGGAAAAGACGATCATCCTTACGCGTGATCAGAGTCTAGCTGATCTGATAAAATTGACAGAACCAACCTCTTTTCATCTACCATCTTTGAGGTAACATTAAAAAGTAATTAGTTAATTCATTGTTCTTCAAAACTCAAGACCAGTAAACGAAAGAAAGATTTTTCTTCTGATGTGTTTTAAAAGTTAACACGAATTCAGGGAAGAAATTTCTGTGAAACAAGTGTGTGTAAGCTCTCAACAAAAGCTCTGTTTGTTATTTGTATATTCATATTGGAAAAAGTTGCAATGAAATAGGTAGGAGGATATTACTGATGATACTTACAAAAATGAAAAGAGCCTTGAAAAAACAGGTGCACAAGATCCTGAAGGATTACTATCTGGTCAAGCTCAATCTAGAGAGAACTGCAGCTGCTTGATCACCACCAAGCAAGAAATAAGGATGTCTAAGAGCAGCAGCGGCTGATAAACGACCTTGTCTAAAGGATCCCCCCTCTGAGATAAGCTTTGTTACAAGGTCCCATCCTCTTCCCCTGTCCAGATCTAATATCCTTAGATCAGGCCTACTTCGAGTGCGCTCCCTCCAGCGGTTTAAATCATATCCTACAGACTTCAATTCATTGTTAAAGTTTTTTAAGCCTGCTGTGGACCTCAGAGATGGTACAGCCATTTGCAGAAGAACTATCCCAGCTGAATACATGTCAAATAGATCAGGGCTATTGAGCTGCAAATAAAATGCGGCAGATATCAACATTAGAATATAGATAAAAAAAAAAGAAAAGAAAAGAAATCAAAAGCTTGAGTAGAATTTTGACAATTACTGCAAATGGAAATAGGATAAAAAGCAGTCTTAGAACCATCATTCTAACCAATTTAGATATATTTCTTTTCACATGAAAAAAATAATAAAAGAAATTTTAGATACCTGCCATAAAATGGGAGAGAGTAATGCAGCAATGGGCTCTGGAGGCGGCCTTGGGGTTTCCTCTGGGAGTACATACAGTTCAGGAGGGCAATAGTCAGGGTCCAGCAGGCCACGATCTGGGACATAGTTCTTACCTATACGAAGATCAGCTGCGGCCCCAAAATCTATGAGCTTGATCTGTCCTTTCTTTGTCACTACTAAGTTTGCTGGCTTTACATCCCGATGAACAATGCCAGTGTCATGAATTTTCTTCAGAGAAGTGATTATCTGTCTCATTATTTGCTTGATGATCAATGCATTGCGCTCAAGAGAATCCATTCCTTCTAATGCTCGACCAAACATGATATTCTCTAAATTTACAGGAAAGTTACGGTCTTTCATGTAATCTGCAAGGTCTAGATCTCCCTGTGTAGAGAGTATTGTTATCTTAGCTACTTTGTAAAAGCAACTCCTGCAAATTAAACTTTTCCTTTTTTTCTTTTCTATGTGTGTGGGGGATGGGATACCTCAAATTTCCAAACAAGGCACTTTCCACCTTTTGTATACTGTGAGTTTGTTTTGTCAGCTATAAAGCTTCCAAGAAAATCAGCACAGGTTTCTGGAGCAGCTCTTGATAACCTGTAATTAAACCACTCCTCAAAATCACCACATTCTTTGGCCCCTTTAACTCCAAGCTTTACCTAACAGATGAATGATATAAAGAAAATAATTATCTAACAACCTAATTCGCAATATTGATGCTGATGACAAACAATAGTTCTCGCTATGCACCATCATTTGAATAATGCTGTAACAATCTAGATGAGAAAAGCCAAAAGCTTGATCAAGTTTGAAGAGATGATTGTAATTTACTACTCAAAGCCAAACTGACTAACCAACTTTCAAGTCTAAAACCATATAGCTAACCAATTCCACAAATGCTGATAACTTGATAACAAATGGGAAAATTTAAACTTACCTGCTTTAATATAACCTTTTCCTTGAATCTCTTGTCAGATTCAAGAACTTTTGCCATGCTTCTCTTAGACACATTTTCTCCCACATTTACATTCTTCGGCAGAACCACCCCAGAATAGACCACACCAAAGGAACCCTCACCTATCTTATCAGTAATCAGAAAATCTGACCTCTTTAGTCTCCTTCTGCCTGTCAAGGTATCAAGACCCACTTGCAAAGGAGCTAGGATGTATGCATCAACGGCTCCAATAAGCACTCCAGGCCTTGCAGTCAGGTATATCCAAGCCAAACCAGCAAACACCGCGATTCCCCACTTTTCAGATTCCGGTAATGTATCAGCAATCTCCTGTATTTCTACAAAACTAGAACCAATAACCGGTAAAGAAGCAACTGTATCTGCCAACCCATCTATTATATTATCTGAAAATGCATTGCACTTGATATTGATTCTTTTCGGTCGGTTGATGAAGGAAAAGAAATGGTTTTGCTTGATGGGTTTAGTGAAGGAGAGAGAAAGGGACTTAGGATGTGCACTTGTAGCTGGAGAAAGCAAAGCAGAAGCCATAGGTTTCCAAAGAAGAGCTTGATGATGTTTGGGTGGTAAACTGAGATGCACAATAGAACTGTCAGCAGTGGATGATCTTTTGCCACGTGTCAGTCCCTATATTATCCACTTAAATAACTACATGTGGAGAAAGATAAAACAGCAAATTCCTCAAAGTCTGAAGATAGCAAAACTTCTGATGGCATCTTCTGATTAGGACCATTATAACCTTTCTTGACCCTTGGTGGTAAAAAAAAAGGCCCAAAATTTGTTTAACTGTTCCTGTTGGTCTGTCTATATCTCTGATGTTGGTCATGGTAACAACAAAAAACAACCTTATAGTACATATAGAGGCACACATTAATGATTGCACAACCTTAAATTAGGATTAAGTCTCACATAAAACTTTGGAAACCATCAGTCATGATGGAAAGTTTGCTTTGGATACAATTAAACACAGTGGAGAATACACTACCCAAAGGGCTAAAATAGTCCAATTGATTCATACATAGAGCATCTCCAAGGGAGATTTAGACATATAAAAGCAGGGAGCTGAGGTCAAGCACGCTCGTTCAGGGGACTCATCCTCTGAAGGAAACTTGCAGCTGGTCTCACGTATGTAAAGTCCTTGAAGAGTAGATTCCCATTGCCGTTGGGACTTGCGGCAGGAGAAATCACAACAGGCATGTCAGTCCAGCACTTTTCGAAGTTAGCAGTACAGAGTTTTCCATCAACTTCTGGGCAGAAGCTTGGTGGAAGTTGCCTTGCTTCTAGTTTCTTCCAGTTAATTGGCTTAAACCACTTATGGAGCTTCACTTCCTCGCTTGCCATTACTCCATTGCCTAGACGCTTGGTTGGATCTTTTTGCAACAGCTGCGAAACAACAATGCTCATTCAGAACCTTCTTCAACATATAAAAAGCAAGCAGAGTTATCGATTTCTTTCTCTTTATAAATAAGTTCAGGACAATATAAAAGTATATTTACCCCTTTTAACAGAGAATGCGCTTCACTAGTTAAGAAAGCTGGTAGCTTGATCTTATCTTTTATAATCTTCTTCTGGATCTTGTCCCTATTACCACCAAAGAAAGGAGGCTGCACAAGCAACACAGTCATCTATAAGACATAGATAATAGTTTTCAAATATGGGCTAAAGGATCAAACACACATTTATATACATAAAATGAATTTTTTTACAGCCAGCACAGCATTACTAAGAATCAGGTTGCAATTGCATAAAGATGCTAACAGCAGTATAACCACCTGTCCAATTGTAATTTCTGAACACTCAAGCTAAAGATGCTACGAGCAGTATAACCACCTATCACGAATTTGATACATAATATCTGAATTGTTTCTCACAGAGCATTTTAAAAGTGGATGATTTTATAATTTAGATTCTAAAGGTGCATCTATTTCACTAAATGCAGGAAGAACATACATAACTATGCATTAATGCATTCATGAGTCCGCTATACCTGACCAGTAAGCATCTCAAATATCAAGACACCTACACTCCACCAGTCTGCAGCCTTGTCATGGCCCTTCCCAAGAACAATTTCAGGTGCCATATACTCCACTGTCCCGCACAAAGAGTTCGACCTCCCATTCTCTTCCATTTCTTTAGCAAGACCAAAATCAGTTAACACAACCTGCAACATAAAGATAAAGTCAACACAGCTTGAAAAACAGCAACGATGTTATATTACAGAGAAGCTGTAAGAAATATACATGGCCATCTGCATCAAGTAGGATATTTTCAGGCTTCAGATCTCTGTGCATTATACCATTCGCATGGAGATGAGAAACTGCAGAGACAATTTCGGCAGCGTAGATACGAGCTAGATCTTCCCTGAAAGCATAACATTTTTTAATTGATTTTGCACAGAACAGTACCAGCTATCAACAAACAGTATCTAAAAGAGGTATTCACCTGAAAAGTCCATGTTTCTCAAGCTGAAAGAAAAGGTGTCCCCCATTTATAAAATCCAGCACAAGGTACAGTCTGTATTTGGTCTGCAGGCAAGCAAAAGAAAGGCTAAGTAAAAGTATAACATTAACTGACTCTACAATTTTACATCGGGTAACAACCACCTCTATTTTCTTAAATAAATTGAACAGTCCTAAAGAACATATAAATTGAACCTCTATTGGATGAATAGGAACATATAAGGACTAGAAGGCATTGTAAAAAAGAACATAAGTGACATAACAAGATTGGAATTACTTGAAATGAGTATCTGAGCTGGACAATGAAAGGATGACCAATCTTCGTCAAAATGTCCCTCTCTGCTTTCATATACTCAGCATGGTTCTTTTCCATTATCTTATCCTTTCGCATGACCTTCATTGCATATATTTCCGAAGTACCCTTCTTGAGCACCTGGTATACCTTACCAAATGCACCTTGCCCGACCACTTTCATTATCTCAAAATCATCAAGGCCAACTTTCTGGTCCTTTGTCAATAGATCATCATTCAGGGAGTCCAAAGGATTTGCATCATCGTCAGTAGAGATTTCTGAAAATTCATCAATAGTTTTGCCATTTTCACACTCCATTAAGACATCTGCTTCCTCGGTCTCAAGACAGAGCTTACTTATTTTCAACGAGTGACTAACACAAGCAGTAGGCCCAACCAGAGAATGTGATCGCCTGTACACAACAACTGGGTCATCATATACAAGTTCACTCACATCAGCACCTGTAGTTTCTAAATCCCCTTCATTCACTTCGACAGGAAACTGCCCTGGTAGAGGACCAAAAACATCAGAAAAATCAAACTCATCATCATCGGCAGGAATAGCATTTGGAGGGTTAACAGGACGCAGAAACTGGCTCCGAAAGGATTTGTGGCTCTCACTCAAAGCAGAGAACTGAGAAGAAACCATGCTGTCAAATTACAAGACAAGGATAAGTGATGCAGATGGCAGAGTCCACGCACAACTAAGGAACAATAGACAATAGGCGTAATGCTGATGGACTCCTGTCAATGGCCTGGACTAGAAGGAAGTTCACGTAAACAATAAGATCTCCCAAAAACTTAGCCAGTAGAGATACCAAAATCCAGAGAAAGAAACTGTTATTGTTTCCCGGAAGGCAGGAAACTACGGATGTCACAGATGTTCTCGAATTCATGAAGTACAGGTACCAAATCTGCATTACAATTTATAGATAACATGTAAGTGGAAAGAACTGTTGCAAAATGATTGATTGCGCCAAAAGTAAAGACTACAGCAAAAGGAACAAGAATTATTCTTAACACTTGTGAGTTGTGAACAATTTGCAAAACTTCATATACCATGGTTTCATATCATTGAAAAAGGTGCAAAGCAGCAAATATCCAAGCAAGCACTCGTAATTCAAACAATCTGAGTATAATTTAACCGCTGCACCCGAATTACAATCAACAAAAAGATGATACAGTTTCATTTGAAAATCCCTGGTTCTCAATCACTGATATGCAATCAAACTCCTCAATCCTCACTCTTTTTTCCTTTAATTTTTATCAATCTGTGTTCTAACACAAATTAGAGCTCAAAACAAACCACCCCTAATTTAAGACACCGACACCAAGAAATGTCTAAAAACCCTAATTCAGAAAATCCTAAAACAGCATTCGATTTAGCAATTAAGAAACACATCTAAGGTACCCAAGTAGCATTTCATGAAACCCAACTCATAATTTCAATAAAACTACAATACTTCATAATTATAAAACATAAATTCAAACAGATCTCTTCTAAATTACAGTAAACAAAGAACAAACCCACCAAAAAAAAAAAAAAAAAAAAAAAAAAAAAAAAAAAAAAACCAACCTTTAATGCAGGTTGAAATCAACAAAAAGAACAAGATATAGTAGCAAATTCATAAATAAAATAAGCAAAGTAAACAAAATTCAAAAAATAAAAGATGAGAGGATCACCTGAGAAGAAGGGTGTGCGAGGAGAGAGAAACGGAAATGCAATGAATCGGAACAGATTTGTGGCGTATCCTTCTAACTTCGTTTCCTGTCAACTCGTCTTTATATTTCTTTGAAAATTTTATTTTATTTTTTAGATCTTAAATTAGTTAATTAACTGCGCTTTCATACGTTTGACGCTTTATAATTTGTAACACGTGAATGACATTCTAGTGGTAGTGGATGGTGAGCCACTTATTATGAATTCTCAAAATTATAGAATATGCTTTTATGGCCTCTCTTTTAATGCCAAATTTTAGAATATGCTACTTATTGGTTGCTAACGTTACTTAGCCATGCATTTCCTTTTCTTTTCTTTACTTTACTTTCTTTAATTTAATTTTGGCAAAATTAGCTGCAACAAGTATGGCTTAGGTGCACTAAGCACTATAAACTTTGCGTAGTAGTCAAAACACCACCAACTATAGTGTTAGGTGTATCACGTGCCTTAAATGAAAATTTCTACTCACTTATTTCACCGGAGGAAGTGAATCTTCACTCTCTAGAACAGTTTACAGAAATGGTGAACATTTCTCATCCACTTAGCACACGCGGATTTACCTCCTCCAGTAAATAAGTGGTTGGAATTTTTCATTTAAGGCACGTGTCGCACCTAACACCATAGTTGGTGGTGTTTTGGCTACTACACAAAGTTCAAGGTGCTCAGTGCACCTTAGTCATACTTTAGGGTGTTGCGACCAATTTTGCCTATAATTTTTCAAACTTTTAATTGTCGCTGATCAGTAGTCACACCATGTGGCCAATTATTATAGAGATTGAATCTTTAGTGTTATAAGGGTTACTTGATCAGTGTTATAAGGGTTACTTCATTATTGTTATAGAGGTTACACTATCAGCGTTAGAGGTTATTCAGTAGGTATTACAAGGGTTACTTGATCACTATAGGGGTTACTTTGTCCAATCACATAGTGTGGCTATCCGTACACAAAACGACTATTATTTTTTTTTAAAAAAAAATACTTGTATAATATTGTAGCCTGCTTCATTATTCTCCATGAGGTGATGTAAGGTTTTGTATAGACTTTTTTTAAGTCTCTAACCTTCGGTCCCTTAGTTTTGATTGAGAGATTGTTATATATACCCGGGTGTACCGTACGCCCATGAGTATTTTGTTCTCATTTTGATGATTGTTTTTCATTTAATCATC